TAGTATTTGGTGGTGTTGGTAGTAGTATTTGTAGTATTTGGTGGTGTTGGTAGTATTGTTGCACATCAAGTTTTACCCTGATTTTCTGTTTGAAACTGCGTCAGTGAAGCCTGAAGTGTTTTCATCTCGGCTTCAATGTCGAACTCTTTGGGAGGTTCATCCACCCTGAAACACAAAGAAACAAAGATAGACGTCCATCTTTAGGACTCAGTGTGGAGTTTTACATCTTATAAATGTACTTTTATCTTTCCTTTGGTTGGAAGCACTTCAGTGCTCAAAGTGCTGCACAAATAAGGTGGTTGGTAGTAATGGTAGTAGTACCAATAGTAAGGGTGTTGGTGGAAGTAGTCGTAGCAGTCATGGTGGTGGTTTGTGGTAGTTGTAGTAGTTCTAGTAGTATTGTTGGTAGTAGTTGTAGTATTCTGTAGTAGTAGTTGTAGTATTCGGTGGTGTCGGCAGTATCAGCAGTTGGTCTGTTTATGTAATTTTTGTGACAGTTGCCAGGCAGCCAATCAGAAACAGGTATTTTCTCTCGCGCTTACATGGGGAACAGCAGGAAGCCACTGAAGGTGCTGTGGTGGTTGCTGTTGTCCCAGATGTGAGTGTCCTGCCACAGCACCATCTTCAGCCTGTCGCCCTGCTCCAGCAGCAAGGCGGCGCCGTTGGACGCCGTGTCGCTGCCCTCACCGGACGACTGCTCGTGGACGATCAGCTGGATCTCAAGGTCGTTCTTGTAAAGAACGGCACTCATGGGGAAGTTGGTGGGGCTGTTGGAGGTGAAACGGATGTAGTAGACTCCACGAATCGGTGCCGTGAACACACCTGGAGGAAAAATGAAGAGTAGCTTCACCGACTGTTTATGCCCATCAGCCAACATACACATAACAGTAGTGGATGGAGACACTCCTTTGGCTAACTTTCTTGACATGACTAATCTAGAACTTGAATACGGTATCTCACCTGTCTCAGCATTGTAAGCTCCGCCCACATTGGTGATGACGTCCGTGTAAATGAGGTCTTTATTGCCGTTTGTCGTCTTCACAAGGCCGTTTACTCCCAGAGAGGCAGCGAACGCAACTTTAGGTATTTCTGTACAAAATAAACGCCTTAAGTCATTTCTTAAAGCATTTTATGGCAGTTTGGAAAAATTTCACTTCAGTCATTTATTAAACTATCTGAGGTTTTCAGGCATAAATGTTTCATCAGCATAATTTTTTTTTCACCAAATCCAGAAAATCTTCAAAGATTTGTCTTTGGAAAAATTCTAAAATGTGCTTTGAGATACTAACACTTGACTTTAAGTCCCCCTATTTATCATTTATAAGCAGTATATGGACATTTAATAACTGTAAACTTATTTAAGTGTTTATTGGACAATTATAACTTTTCCTATGATGACATTTTATATTATTGCTGTATTCTCATTCATAATCTCTGTTTAACTCTTCCACATGTCAGATACCTCAATAAAGAACTCGGACATCTTTGAAGGCTGACACTCATTTACAGTGATGTCAAATAACAGTTTAAAATTAGTAAAAATGTATATCTAATAAAAGATATAAGAAAAACAATAAATTTTTTGTTTCATGACAAGATTTTCTATGTACTATTTGAATGTGTTTAGTCTATCCAATAAATACTGAATTATTTATATTTTTATACTGTAACTCGCTTAATGTTGGATCATTGTACAGTGAAAATACAAAAGTTTTTGTTAACAATCATCAACAACATCTCCGACTCTAGACAACAGCATAAACTTAGTTGTCTGTACATTCAGTACAAGTTTAATATCAAAAAGTGCAGTAGGTTGTCCACAGCTAGCAGAGTGTCGTCCGTACACTACTTCACTGACTGCTGCCGTTAGAACAGGTAACGTAATGTAATAAATTGTAATAAATAAATAAAAGTAAGATGTGGTCAATATGTGAAATGCTTTGGAAAAGTCCACAAAGATGAAAAATGTTGGTTTTTTTATATCTAAGGCATCGTATCTGCTTACAAATACATTACAGTGCGTTATAAACCCTTTATTCAGTGCTTATATACTGCTTATAATGATTGAGTTTTTCACCAGTTTGAGATTACCTTACCTTTGACTCTGTTCAGTTCCCTCTCAGCTGCATCCAGACGTTCACTCATAGCTGCAAACAATAAAAGAACAGTCACATTATAAATAAACTGTAGAGAGAGAAGACCGCACACTACGGATAACTGATTTTCAAATCTGATGATTTCTGATGTCTGAGCAGTGTAGAGTTCAGCTGGGTTTCTTGCTGAAATGAGGTCACCCTTTGGACCATTTCTTCCTCTCCACCATGATTCTTCCTTTTTGCATGTTTCGAGCAGTGTAGACACACAAGTTTGACGTCATTGTTTTGCAATGAAAAGCAAGAAAAACATGCCTGCATTGGTAAAAGGAATTGATAAGCTTGGAGGCTATACTTGGATTTACAAAGCCAGAAAGAGGCTCTTAAAAGTGCCTGGATTCAGGAACCTTGATACACTTCTGTCCTACCTATCCATCTGACGCAAACTCATTCCCACATCCTCTGAGACTTTATCACTCTGCCTAAAGGAAATCTTTTTTTATTTTTACAGCAAAGAAATATCAGCATGAGCCTCTTCGGTCTGTTTTGTAGGTCTTTAATATTAATGATTGTGAGCAGCTTCAGTCCGAAAATTCAGCTATTAATCTCGAAGAAAGCAACCTGTTGATTCTGAGACAAATATTTCTGGTTGTAAATAAAGACAACAGCTACAAGTGGAGACTTACCTCGCCTCTCGACCTGCATCTCCTCCAGAGCGGCCTGCATCTTCTTCAGCTCGGCCCGGTTGTCGACCGGCTGAGTTGTGCCAAACCAAGCCAGGCTCAACAGCAGGAGGACAGGGAGACACAAAGACATGATGACTGACAGGATGAGGAGGACAGAGAGTCTGCTGCTTTTTTAGAGACCCTTTTTGCGGTTGATGTCCTCAGTTCAACAGTTTCTCCTGAGCCAGTGTTGACTGAGAAAACACTGATAACACTGAACTGTTGTACAGAGCTCAAGAGATCAAAATACAATTTCACGTGACAGTTTATTTACTCAAACAGGTAACAGGAGGTTAGAGGAGGTTAGATAATAAGCAGCGAACTGTGATTGCTTCAGAGTCTTACTGGTCCGATTTATAATCTTGTTGACTGACTGATGACTAATTTTACCTGTTTCAGACTGTATTTTATTCCTGTATGACTGTTTGTATTCGGTCAACATTTAACATGTGAGACTGTTAAATGAGGCTTTAGTGGAAAAACATGTTAATAGTTTTGAAGGTAAAGTATCAAAAGAACAGAAAAAGACTGAGCTCCAGTCGTTGAACACATCAACAGGGAGAGTTTTCTCGTTTAGAGAAGATAATGAATGGTTCCTATATTCCTGTAACATCTCATTCTCTTTCATCACACCCTGAACATACGGTTTTAAAACATTGTAAAACCAATGGTATGGTCGTTTTTTCAAAATACTGATTGTGCCCTTCTCGCCTCATTGTCCCTTCCTGTCTGTCTCAGTGACTATGGTCTGTGCTACCTGTCCCTGCGGACCAGTATCGGACTCTGGACTGCCTTCCTCTGCCTGCTGCTGGTCGCCACCGACGCCAGCTCTTTAGTCTGCTACATCACCCGTTTCACTGAGGAGGCCTTCGCTGCCCTCATCTGCATCATCTTCATCTACGAGGCCCTGGAGAAGCTGGTCCACCTCGGGGAGGTCTACCCCATCAACATGCACAGCCAGCTGGACAACCTCACCTTCTACACGTAAGGGAGTAACTTATTTCAAGACTAAATACGAGACTCATCATCGAACAAAGAATACGGAGGAGAGTAAATTAAATTAAAAGTGAAAAGAAAATGAAAGACTTTGATAAAAGTTGTGGGTAAATGAACTTTTCTTGATGTGAACCGGCCTCTCGTGTTGCTGCCCTGTTACAGGTGTCAGTGTTCTCCGCCTGCCAACGCCTCAGCTGAAGTCCTGCAGATGTGGAGCGCCATAAACGGGACGTCAGAAAACATCCAGTGGGACCAGCTGACTGCAAAGGTCTGACATTGTGTTCATGTAGAAGCTTCAGTGAAAAGTGATCTGAAAACACTGTTTAAAAAATGTTTCTGGTATTCCCAGCATGTCAGTGATGCCTTAGATGTTGTTTAGTTGTTTAGTTTAGCTGCAGTCGAAAATAATTATCATACTATTTATGCTTTAATTTCTCCTCAATTAAACAATAATTCCACACTGACTCCCCTCACTGACTGTAGAAGAAGCTCATTGAATCTGCTGAGAGCTGAACTTGTTGTGTGTCCATTCACTTCAGTACAGTCAGATCACAGCAGTATCTAGTGGACATTAGTGGAACTGCAGCTCAACACGCTCTCTCTGTTTCCAGGAATGTGTGGATTTACACGGGGAGTTTGTCGGCTCGGCCTGCAGCCACGACGGCCCCTACGTCCCCGACGTCCTCTTCTGGTCCGTCATCCTCTTCTTCACCACCTTCTTCCTCTCATCCTTCCTCAAACAGTTCAAGACCAAGAGATACTTCCCCACCAAGGTCTGTATCAGTCTCACACAGATTGCTTTATGAATTGGGTTAATTTGCTTTCTTGTTTCTGTATTTCACCCTGAATGTCCCTAATATCAAGGTCTCATCCAGTTCAGATGATTGGTTAAGTTTTTCTTGTGTAATAGTTGACCCTTCCTAAGTCCCGCCCCTTTTGCTCTGTGCTCCAATCACAGTTGAGCAAGCCTCGGTCCTGAATCTTGGTCAGCTTCCTCCTTTCCTGTAATTAGATATGCTATGTGCTAGGCTAACTTGTGTTGAAAAGACAACCATTTTTTCAAGATGGTTAAAGGATAAATAAGACACGTGTGTGTATAGTCACATTTTTAAGTTAGCTAATGTTATCAAAGCGTTCTACGTCAATTATAAGCTACTTAGTTTAGTGGCTAGCTAGTTAGTGTTTTGCTTCAGAGCTAAACACCAGCTGACTAACTCATCTGCATTAATTGTTAGCTAGCTACATCTGATAGATGCATGTTCATTGGCTAGCTATTAGCTATCATTAAGATGTGAATACTTACATAGCTAAATATTAAAACTCAATCAAGTGATCACATATTATCGGATAAAGACAACATGAGCGGAGGGAGAATATTGATCAGACCGTTCTGCGTCTGCAGGTTCGATCGACCATCAGTGACTTCGCCATCTTTCTGACCATCATGATCATGGTGTTAGTGGATTATCTGGTGGGAGTTCCCTCGCCCAAACTCAACGTACCCGACCGCTTCGAGGTAACACCTGACTCCACTGTGTTCTCTTTATAATCGGTACGCTGGTATACAGTATATAGATCATAATCTAACGTCTGCATCAGAGTTAACATTAGGTATGCTGTTGTATTGCTGTTAGCTCAGTGGGGTAAGAGGTCATGTGGGTGTCAGGGCACAATGCTACGTTCACATTACATAACACTGCTTACAGATGTAGGTCAGTTTCTTCAGTCACTGCAGGGTTAAAAAATGAAGAGCAACGACCTCAAGCTTAAAGATTAGAGTGACCTACAAACATCGCTGCCTAAAGCTGCATCATAAATACCTGAATTTACAGTAAATGTGATTTACTTTGAGTTTGAATCAAATTGTATATAAATGCTGTTTAGATATTTTATATTTTCAGTATTACAGAAAGCACAGGAACATCTATCTGCTGTGTACAGGAGCTTCACTGTCAGAAGTTGTTATAAAGTGTTAACGCTGCTGTTTGTGTTTATCCGCTCAGCCCACGTCGAACACTCGAGGGTGGCTGATCTCCCCGCTGGGTCCGAACCCCTGGTGGACGCTGCTGGCCGCCGCCGTCCCTGCTCTGCTCTGCACCATCCTCATCTTCATGGACCAGCAGATCACCGCCGTCATCGTCAACAGGAAGGAGAACAAACTTAAGGTGGGGACAACTGACAGGACGGTAGCAGGTGACCACAGACTGGTAGCTCGGTGATAAACTTCCCCTCTGTGTGTGTTGTGGTTGCAGAAAGGTTGTGGCTACCACCTGGACCTGCTGGTGGTGGCGGTGATGCTGGGCGTGTGCTCCATCATGGGCCTGCCGTGGTTTGTAGCGGCGACTGTGCTCTCCATCTCCCACGTCAACAGTCTGAAGCTGGAGTCGGAGTGCGCGGCGCCGGGGGAGCAGCCGAAGTTCCTGGGCATCAGGGAGCAGAGAGTCACCGGGTTCATGATCTTCATCCTGATGGGCTGCTCCGTCTTCATGACCTCCGCCCTCAAGGTGAACAGAGTCCTCGCAGAGACAGATAACACCCAGAATGTTCATGTTTGTCTGAGGGGCTGCTTTCTGCAACTACACTTCAAGTCCCCATGAAAAGTGTTTTTATCTCATCTGTCCTTCAGTATCTGTCCAACAGGAGAGGACGTCATGTTTTAGGTATTTTCAGGTATTCTTCATGGTGTTTTAGAGTTTGAGTGGATTCTTGCAGATACCGTTAGGAGCACTAGGAGGA